AAACCTAGGATAGGTCGATAATCACCATCTTTCTTAGGAATCAGAAAGAAATGGGAGTAAAATCCCATGGTGGGCTCTGACTCTCTTACCCTTTGTATAGTACCCTTCTCCAACAGAGAGACTTCCTGCTGTAGCTCTGGAATAGCATTGTCACAGGTTTGGACTGGGTGTTGTGAGGGGGCTGCTGCTAGAACGCCAACCTGTAACCTTTGCTAATTATTGATAGGACCCAACTATCTGTAGTGATAATATCTTATCTTTGGGCTTAGAGTTCAAGGATGTAATCTCCAGGTCCAAAGATTTTGCCATTCTGACCATTTGTTTGGTATAGAGCTTAAGGTCCTCATTGGGGGGTACAGGGTCGGGATTTCCTACTGTATCATCTGGAGATGGTAATGAAGATAAGTCAGATCCAGAATTCAGAGCAATCCCTCCCTGTGCTCTTCATCAGAATCCAAGGGGAATTCTGCAGTTGAAGGGGGAACCATCTCTGTTAGGTATTCCGTTGACAGACCCCAAAACTCCCTGTGTTCAAGACCTCAAGGTAAATCATGCTGCTGCCAGACACTCCAAGAGCTGGGAATCAGGGACAAGGCTGGAAGTTGTGTGATGGAGGAGGTGGGTGAGAGACTTGTCATGAAGCCAGCGAAGCCGAGGGATGGGTAGATGCCAGAATTGGCTGAGATGACTGGCCCGGTTTCAATTCTCCCTCTGACAATGACATCGCTGGCGATGCACATAGGGACCGACCTCCATTCCTTTGGAACCGGTGTGGTATCATTTGGCTTTAGTGCAGAAGACGTCTTGGGACCCATGTGTTGCTTGTCCTTGGATGTGCTTTCTTGGACGGGGGCTCTGAAGAGCAGCATTCCACTGCTTGGGCTGGGGAGTGACTCTGAAGGGTTGGTTCGGTGCTGAGCACTGATGGAAGCAAGGTGCTGGAACGCAGGCTCGTAAGGTTCCCATGCTTAGTGGAGGACTGCATGGCCGATGCCATGGTCCATTCAGGTTGGGCAGAGGACTTAGCTGCTGGCTCCGAAGGGCTCATGAGCGCCTTCTCCCGAAGGCTTGCCTTTAGCCGTGCAGCCCTGTCAGAGCAGGCTTTGGGAGTGAGTTGTTGGCATATTTTACATGCAGCCATGTTATGGGTCTCACACAAACAAATCAGACAAAGTGCATGCTCATCCAAGCTAGGTTTTACATGCAGCCATGTTATGGGTCTCACAAAAACAAAGCAAAGTGCATGCTCATCCAAGCTAGGCATCTTGGACCTGCATTGGGAGCATTTCTTAAAGAGGGGTTTCTGCGACATGGTAAGCAAAATTGCCCCGTTGAGGATTTTTCCTGCTTGTTAAATCGTTTCTCTTTATTTGCTTTCCTTTTCTTTTTAGAAAGCTCACACAACAGTAGCTGCAGTAGAAGACGTTCTCCTTATGCGGCAGCGAAAGAGAGACTGAGGGAAAGGAGGGGGGGCCCTCTGCCCAGGTCAGGTGACTCAACAGGAAAAGATCTCAGACGCCCCCCTGCAGGGGAGGGGCTCCCCTCTTGGTGCCTACAAGAAAGAATATAGCTGTAGAGAGTCTCTGGTGGCCGGCCAGCACAAGCGCAGTTCCCAGTGTGGGAATACACAGAAGGCTGAAGATGAACCAATTTTTTTTCATACAGTGAAGCCACTTTCACCACTGCGAATGACCCACCCATTCACCCCCACACACACACCCAAGAATCTGTAGGAAAGGCTTTAACAGGAGTACCACAGCGATGTGGAAGGAAAGAAGGCCCTGTAAACCAGCACATACAGAGAAATACTGCATGCATTCCTTTTATTAATCTACTGAATCTGAAGACTGTTCATTTAAAGAGAAAACGGTGTCTAGTTTGTAATTGGGGAAGCATTGAGCAACACTGATGATAAACATTTGGAAATACAAATTCCTATTATCAATGATCATATACTCCCAAAATCATGCCTTAGCTATCGGTTGAATCCTGTAGAAAACTTCTGCTAACTGAAGGAGGTGATTTCTGCTGATTTCTTTCTTCTGCTACAGTCCTCTGACTCCCCCACTCATGCAGTTCCTAGGGATCCCCTGTCCCCTAGGAGCAGCATTTCAGGGACAAGTTTGCATGGGGGGGGGGGATTTCACTGACAGAAATACCTTCCGGTACAGCAGATTTACCATGGAAACCCAGTCTACATACCTAAATCCTCGAACACAAAATAAATTCCTGGAAACTCACAACCAGATTCTACATACTACGCTATACAGCAGGAGCAACAATAGTGTTCAGGACTGCACAGTGGGCTTTCAGTACACTTGAACACACACCATATTGAAACAGACAGACAACTGGTCCACTTAGCTCAGTACTGTCTACTCTTACTGGCAGTGGGCCTAACTTTCAGGCAGGATCTTTTCCAGCTCTGCTATTGGAAAGTCTTTTAAATGGAAATGTTAAAGAGTGAACTTGGGACCTTCCGCTGATGAAAGCATGTGCTTTATGATCCCTTCTCACTTCTTGTCTTGGAAGCTGGTTCAGCCTGCTGCTGATGGGACTACACTGTAGAAGTGAACAGGCAAACACAGATAGAAAAGATTATAGCTCCTACATTAGCATCTGAAGATGGGGGAAAACAATTCCTTCCTAGCACAGACAGTAAAAGAGTAGAATGAGATAAATGGAGCACAGCTGGACAGTGCCCATGCTTCCCTTTCACTGGATAGCACTTTAGGTGCTGCAGTGAAGTCAAAGCCTACTGGAACCAGAATTACCATAATCAAATACATCAGCACATTATGTAATATCAATAATAATAATAGGATATTCAGAGAGCACAGCCATTCTACATAAAAACAAAACATTAACCCCCAAATCTGGAATCTTTAAAACTAACGCTGCTATTTGGCTAACACTAGAACCTTCAGTTGGCAGAGGGGGTTCCAATGCTGATAAAAGAGGCTCTATCAGTCGTAGAATGAAAACTTCAAATCCAGCTTTATATTTAAACTAGAAAAGGAAACCAATACCCATCCTTCCATAAGATGATATGCTAGCTGAAAACTATATTTTCATAAAGCTGAGACTTTCAAGCAAGTGAGAATAAGAATAGTAAAAATCCACAGAAGCAGCCATAAAGATACTTTTTAAAATGTTCCTTTCATAGAGACAAATATGTCTTCAATGGACCCAGAAGGCTATGACTGCTTAGGATTGCACTGCATAGTACACACATATCATGGGGAAAGAAAAGATGATTCTAGGTGCATCTTTATCACCAAAGCTCTGACAAAAAAAGTGTGCGTGTATTTATTTCAATACTTTTTTTAAAAAAAAGTTTTCTTCATAAAATAGCTCAGTACTGGCATATATTTAGGAATAAACATGGTTGTGGGAAGAGCAGCACTTCAGCTCACACAAAGGAGGACCCAATTCCTACCAATTTCTCTCTCCAGCTGCAAGCTCTAACTCCTCTTATGCCACTCAAGTGGCTTAGTAGTGACATGCATATATGAATGTGTGTCCCCCACCACTCAGTATTCACTCAAATATTTCAACTTTTGTGACTTCACTGTTTGAGAGTTGGAACCCAGTTGTAAACTCGTAGCTGGCAGAAATTGGGAGGGGGGCATTAAGCCATCAAGCTCAAGCAGAGTACTCCCATACTTATGTACACTAATGGCTCTAACCAAAGGATGACAATGGCCTACCATCTCACATCTGGGTAGAATGTCACACCTAACGGAATACAGAGGGACTCAGCCACACACCTCTGTGTGGCAGGACGATCAGAACAACTCCAAGATGGGATGGACTTTCCCAAGGAGAAGGTATAATTTCTCTGGACACAAGGAAACAGCTCTTTTCCATCTTGCACTTCTCCTTGGATGGGCACAAGCCATGAAATAATAAGCTTTTACCGAGGGACTGCATCTCATCCATGTGTGAAGGACAATGGGATAAAGCCCTATTAAGAGAATTAAGGTGATGCTGAACTTTAAACTACTGCAACTCCAAGTAATACTAGACTGTCCTATTTAAACATCATTTTGGGTAAGTTCACAGTTTAGGGAAAGTACCTTTTGTACTCTTGTTCAGCCTGAGTGCTTGAACAGACCATGTGTTTTCTTTTAACTCATTTATTAAACTTTCTTAACTCTTGGAATGCTGTAAGCCTGATTTCTGCAAACCACACCATACCTGTTCGGTCTCATTATCCAAAGTACAGGAACAGGAAGCGTCATCATGTAAGGTCACTACCCCTGGAGCACAACAGCTCAAAAGTACAAAGTTGCCATAGGCTATCCCACACTGGCTTGCAGAAGTGAAGTGGAAGCTTTGACAACTAGGCAAAGCCTCTAAAAGGCAACACAAATCCAGAGTGCCTAGATGTGCAACTCCATCCAACACAAGATACTCTCACGAGTTAATGGAGGCTGCTGGTGATATCCAGTTTATTTTTGCTACACCCTGCCCCCCCTCCAGGAGCATGGGAAAGGGGCAGCGCTGTTGAGTGGAGACCATGGATGGCAGCAGGGTTTTTCTAAACTCTTGGGGTCCAGCCTGAAAGGAGGAAGCCTTGTACGTCTGTCACAGCACAGACTGAATTGGAAAGGTGGTGATGGAAAAGCCTCACTGCATTAGCAGAATGCTGTTCTGTAAAATTCACCCATTATGACAAAATGGTCTGATCTGTTTATGGGAAGGGGGGGGATTCAGTATGATGCCTCTTCATCTTCAAATGACAATGCTATGCAATAAAAGCTGTAATTCATGACCATTTCAGCCTTGATTCCTTTGCAAACCACGGTTGCTCTTTTCAAGGAAAAGAGGGGACAGAAAGAGCTATACCACCATGGCTATCAGATGACCTGACTCAGAGTTCCAGCTAAGAACTTCTCACTATATTACTAACAGAAATATCTTTTTTAAAAGACTGAAAGCCACAATCCAACACATCAGAACAAGATGCCATGAAATTCTTAAATGTGTTAACTTACTCTGTTCATAGAATCAAAACATTTCCTGACCAAGGATTCGACGTCATTGGGTCTATCTTGAACATTTATCCAGTCTAATAGAGAAACATTGAAAGAAGGTAGATCACTCTCTCCCAGCTCTGCTGACATTTCACTGTCCTGGACTGAAGGATTTTGACTGGCTTCCTTATTTTCATTCATTTTTTCAGAAACTGTGCCATCTAGGGTTGAATGTTCTACTGATTTGCAACATGAGGACAGCAGTGATTGTTTGTTCGTTTTAAACATGTCAGGAGAAAGCACCACTTCAGCTGACTTCTCATTCTCAGTGTCTTCACCTTCTGTCACTTCATGTTCAGCAGAAGAATCCAGCCGTTCCAAACATTCCCTGTAACTATGTCTGGTTAGGCACTCCAGCAGTGGGATCTTGGCCATTATGGAAACAGCAGCCCCTAAACTTGGAAAAAGAACATACAAAAATGCTAAGTATAAAACAAAAGCAAATGAATAGTGGCATTCATAATATAATTTTAATTATAGTCATTTTTTTGTTTTTTGTTTCAAAAGATGGATACTTCTTTCCTTATAAAATGAAAGATTGGCCCCAAACATGCCCTTGCAATTAAGCACTTCCATTCATGCAAAAAACAGGCGGAAGGGGGTCCTTCACTGAGTTCTCCCTTCTATTTCAATCCCCTGTGCCAAACACCACACAGTTCCAGAGAATGCACAAACTTCAGGATAACTTTTCAGAGGTCTGCAGTGGAAAGAGGAAGGCAGAAAGGCTATGTTCTATCAGCAAAGCACTGTGGACTATTTGTTGGTTCCATGCTGAAAAAAAATCAGATTACGCTATGTTTTTACTGTAAAATGGTGGTTACATTCATACATGAAACAGCAAACAGAATTTAGAACAAACAGCAGTTTTGTTTGCCTAAACAGGGATTTCCTATCTCTTTCTGGTTGCAGAAGCAGCCTGATTAGCCCAGTTTCGGGTAAGTTTATCAGAGCTTGGGACAGCCACAGTCTGAGCTTGGACAGCAGACCACCATAGAAGACTGGCTGCTACGCCTAGGAAGGCAGTGACAAACTCCCTTTGCTCATCTCATGCCTGGAACACCCCATGGAAGGGGTCACCATGAATCGGCAGCAACTCAGTGTCATGTTCTTCTTTTTTCAACTTCTTGAAGGAGGTCACCATGAATCGGCAGCAACTCAGTGTCATGTTCTTCTTTTTTCAACTTCTTGAAGGATCTTCTGAAACATGATGTGGGGGACTGCAGCTGGAGAAAGGAAATGGTAAGAAATAAGAGATGCTCAACCCGACTCCCATGCATAAGTGGAAATTCTTTGCATGAATGTTTGAAGCTTTACTACTATTGATCAAATAATAGGATTAGGAAAATTTTCAGAAAATGTTAATGTAAGGGATTTAAGGATAAGTAGGCAAACCACTTTTTTTTCCAAAGGTTGAAAAGTATGTTGAAACTAAGTCTTATTTATCAGCCTATATTTTGAACTTCAAAATCCTCAAAAACAAAAATAAATTGGGCAGAGACTGAGATGGCTGGTGACCATAACTTTTCAATGAAGTATAATACCAACACGGTTCTGTGTCTGTTACTATGTTTTCCATACTCACTAATACAATTAACATACAAGAAAATGTGTTAAATATATTTAAGTGAAAACTATTTCATGGACTTTTTAGCTGAGAAGAGTTTTAGGATACATTTATAAAGTATCTGTTTAAATCAAGCAAAAAATGTATCCATGTAGTCTGCAGGAGAACAAAATTCACATCCAGTAGCACCTTAAAGACCAACAAAATTTTCCATGGTATAACAATATAGCACGTGATTCATGACTATTTAAAAGATGGAGGAACTTGATATACTTCTGTAACTAGCTGCAAGGCAATACAAATGTTCAGTACAATACAAGTGAAGTGTTTTCTGCACATAAAAAACTACGTTTACTTGACATTCCGCCAAATTTGTTCATACACATTTGCATACTTCAGTACATGTCAAAACATAATCCTTTGTGCAGAACCAATTATGAAATGTACATCTTTCTTTGCATCCACACAACACAAGTTAGTTATATGGATCTTCAGCGGAAGAAACTGATATGCATTTGGGGCATCTCCCACTTTCCAGCCCATTGTTTCAGCTGGTGGCAAAACAGCTGCTGGATTGGTGTCTTGCTTCCACACCATGGCTTGGTAACATGCTCATTCACTGAAGAAGAAATCTCAGGTATGAAAAGCAATGCTTCCAGTTATCTACGCTTGTTAAACAGTTTAATTCAGGCCTCATCACAGCAGTTAGTTTCTGGTACAGAGCACAACTTGCAGAAACTTTTTGCATCCCTCAATACTTTAATTGTTAATTCTCCATTCCTGGGTTAATGGAGAATGTGACTGTTTTGGACACTTCCTGAAGTCTTCTTGCTATGTCCAGCAAAGCAAAACACTATATCACATCCTGCTATTATATAGAGAGGTTCCCCTTGGTTTGATGCAATGGCATATGCATGCGACATTTGGATGTGTCTGCCTTCATCACAGTTTACTTTGCTGAGATGCAACAGCACCAAAACATCTGTATATCATGTTCGAAGACCATGGGACAGTATAACACAAGCCTGGCATAGGCTTCCTCATTATTTGCCTGTAGCAAACAGGGTTTGGAATTTGCACTTGGACTTCCACTTGAAATCAACCAGCAGCTATGGGGTTTTTTTTTTCCTGCAGGAGCATCTATAACAAGATAATTTGAGAGGAAAGATGCTAAGTCTGCCTTGTTAACAGGCACATCTAGAAAGCCAATCCATGAGAACTCACACTGAATTTTTCCATTAGTCTGTTGCTTGAGAGTGTTTCAAAAGTCTCCTCATACCAGCCTTAATTGGTACTTCTCTGTACCAGTGGAAGAGCCTTCCTGTATTCATACAAAGTTCCATAAAAGGATCTGCAGGTGCATTAAAATTGCTGACTCCAGCAGGCTTTCCAAACAACACAACAAGGCTTTCACCTGTCTATCAGACAGAATATTTCATCAAGAGTAGCATCTGCGTAGTGGATTTGTGAACTTTTTTGTATTATTTTATTAATTTATTTATTTATCGTTGGATTTGTATGCCGCCCTCCCCGAAGGCTCAGGGCGGCTCACAAGGGGCACAAGTGCCCAAGTTAAAACATTAAAACAATACAGTAAATATAAAATACAATAAATACAGTTTGCTAAAAATTTCTTTACGGTGCTCCAGAAATACTTAGCTATAAAATTCAAGATGGGGTTCTAGAATTATTTATACTAGAAACAACAAACAGCAGTAATAACAATATATAACAGCGACAATATACATCCCTACAGCGTTGTCCTCTGCCAGGAACATCTCGCACCCCCCAATAGTACCCGCTCTGAAGATGGTCTATTTGCGGGAATAAAGGGATGGAATGATGGTCATAATGGTGGCGTAAAGATGGTGGCGGCGGCTCCTACTCAAAGGCCTGGCGGAAGAGCTCCGTTTTACAGGTCCTGTGGAACTGTGCCAAGTCCCGCAGGACCCGGATCTCTCCTGGGAGCTCATTCCAACAGGTAGGAGCCGCCACCGAAAACGCCCTAGCCCTGGTAACCGCAAATTTGATGTTTTGTGCAAGCATTATCATAGACAACCAATGTACCCATGTTTGGTAGTATTTGGGTCATCTCCTGCACACTGAGGACAGATTTTCTTAATATTGCTTATTGCCAAATCCCTTGCATCAGTGATGCTTGTCATCCTGGGCTTGACATATTGGGGGGAAAGATGGGGTTTTAAACATTTCAGTCAATAATGTTAACGGCATCTCATGGAAGCTCTTATGCAAACATGCTGAATCTCTGCAGAACTGACATACTGTTGCTTTCATCTTCATTACCCCATTTCAGCCAAGCTAGAGTGGTTTCACTGTGAATGATTTCCAACCATAAAAATTCCTTCAGTTTCTATGCAGGCCCCCAGGTTGTATGAGAAAGAGCACGTGATCGATGTTGATGCAGTTTTTGCAATTCCTGATACCAGCTATTATATTTAGCCACTCTGCACTGAGATCAGGAACAACTTTGAATTGCTGTTCCTTTTCCAGTAAAACTATCTTTCATGAATTTTCGTCTCAGCCAAGTATGTACATCTCCAATCCAAAGTGTAACTTTTACGTATCCAAAACCATTGGAAAAGTGGTTTGCCCACATTTCTTCAAAAATGCTTTATCAACATTATTTAGCATGTATCTGAAAAACTGTCCTAATCAATAACTCCAGATAGGTATCTTAACCTAAATTATAAAATATATGGCATAATATTAAATTGACATTTAAGCAGTGATACAAGCTTTATTTTTGCAGCACTTTTCCAGTGTGCATTTTCCACAGAATGTTGTCTACAAAACAATTCAGTTTTTTCAAAACACGAGTTTACAAAATGACTGGAAATTAATTAACATTATTCTTTAATTATATGTCCTAAAACCCATTTAGATGACTTGCATCTAAATCTGTTTCCACCAACAAAAGGGCAGTTTTGCCAGTTCCGCCATTCCACTACAGACCACCACAGTGCAACCAATATCCTTCCCGGAGGTTCCCCAGTAGGCATGATGAGCAGCAGAAGGATGGGATTTGTTCTGTACATGCAGTTCCAGTACTGGTACCCTGGATACAATCCATACAGAACAAGTATGAAACCCAAATCTCAAAGCTCTTAGTAACCAAGCACATAGTGGGTATTGGTCAACAGAAAGCTTTGATAAATAATTAAGTCAGTTGTTATGGAGAAGTTTATCAAACACATCAAGGGCAGCATATAGTGCAAAACAGCTTCTATGTATTTGCATAGAAATGCAACTGAGTCATCTCATAGGAAATGCTTGCATTTCTTAAGAGTACAAACCCAATTTATTATTTCAACTGGCATCCAAACCCCACAAATGAGAACTACTACTGAGTTAAATAAAATTTACTATAAATATACAAAATCATAAAACCTTAGTTTTGAGTAAAGTGACTGTGTAGAGGTAGCTTCTTATTGATGAGTCTAATGGCAAACCTACTGTGTAAGTTTCAGCTTAATATCATCTATGGACTGCAGGTAATTTGAATATGCATTTTCAAACTTGAAAAGCAGCTTTTGGTAGGAATATGTGCAATCTTCCAAATTTGCCATTATGGCAGCCCAGCCTTGGTGCTGAAGATGTTCATCATGGACGAGACCTTCACAGAAGGAACAAAGTTTCTTGGCAATCTCATACATTTCCTGCATAATAAGAAAAACAAATTAAAAATGAATAAGTTGACTCTTCAGCCATTCATATTTTACTTGTTGCAAAACTGACACAAAACAGCTGACATTTCCAGAAGATGAAATATGGAATACTGAAAACAAACTTTTACTAAATACTCACGTAGAAAAATTTGATTCTTAGGAGTTAAGGCCTTTTCCCAAAGGCAAATTTCTAATGAAATCAAACAAATTAAACACCACCAGAGTTCCAAAAGCAATGTCCTTTCCAGCTTCTGTGTTTTTCAGACACATCAGGAAAAGGCAAGATATTAGGGTGTAATGGGGAAGAGAGTGGAAGTAGCACACAGTAATTTGTGCAGATGCAAGAAAAGAGTTCAGTTACAGCAGGCAAACCATTTACACTTTTGCTCGTAATTCACACCCACTGAACTTCCCCAAGCTGTTCTTACTATGTATATATAATATATACATATTTTAAAATCAGAGGGCTACATACTGTACTGAACGCTAATTTACCAATCTCTGGAAGGGCAACTGAAGGCACTGTTGGAAAACCTCTGTCTATTTGTTCTTTGCTAATCTGTAATGAATGGGCAATGAACATATGTGAAACACAGTGAACTATAATCCTAGACACAGGAGCAGATAAATACCAAGATTTAATCTGATGCATCAAAAACATCTTTTAAGAGACTGACTACCCACTAGTCTGTTTTGTTGCTGGTGTCCCTAATAAACTGACTTCATTTGGTATGAGAAATTATCTTCCTAAAAGGCATAGAAGTCTAGATCATCCTATGAAACTGACTGGCAGCAAGCTCTGTACAAAAAGGAAGAACTTTTTCTTACAGCAAATCATTAACTTATGAAATTAATTGCCACAGGATGAAATCACCATCACCATCTTTTAACAGCTACTAGCAATGACAGCTAAAATGTTCAGAGGCGGTACACCACCAATTATTGTATCTCAAAGAAAAACAAGAGGGGATGGCTATCTCCATCATACCCTGCTTATGTTTATATGTAGCAGCTTGGTTGGCAACTTAGAGGCAGCTGCTTAGGCTTTGTGTTTTATTCAATGTGTACTAGACTCCTCAGTGGCACCCAACAAGGAAAGAACATATAACTATAGCAAAGTCAATCAGTGTTAAAACAAGCCATACAATACAAAACACAGACAGAACTTTCTCCTAACCAAGTATAAGTGATCTTGTTAGCCAGATGTTGTACAAATAAGCACTTTAATTTTTACCAGAAATCTTCTTTGAGTCACCATTAGAATGGTCAGAAATACTGCCCTATGAAGAGGAACCACCATATACAATACAAAATAAGTTTAGTATATCACAAACTATAGAGCTGTTAATATTACTGGATGATTTTATTCCCAACTTCGGCACACTAAGGCTTAATTTAATTAAAAGCATGGTTCCTGAACGAAGTATGGTTTAGGCAGGTGATCGTTCTGTTGCCAGAGGCACTGCCTTTACTCTCAGGTAGCCCCAATAGCAGGGGGATCCCACTTTCTAACCTGACCCAGAAACCCACAAAACTCAGGCCAAGGAAGGCACTCCTGGTTCTGAAACCCAGAGCTAGCCACAGCTCTGAAAAAGGGGCCCCAAAGCAAGCCTCCAGTCTTCCCCCCTCCACCCAGCAGAGATTATAAAAATGAGTTCCAGCAGGTGAAGTATCTACATTTTGTATTCAGAGGCCACCTGGCAAATAGTCCTCTTCTCTCCAGTACCTCACCCAGCCCTTTTGTGTCGTCCTGTGTCTATGTGTAAATTCTTTGTCTTTCTTGCTCTGTCCCTCAGGATACCGGGATAAACCAATAATTCATTCAAATGTTTAGCAATCCTTCCAGATGCTAATCAGGGACTCAGCCCACCTTTTGTCTATACTTGGGAGCCTTTTCAAAATACCCTGGCAGGATCATTAGTGGTCAGATAATCCATTCAAGTAGCTACCCAGCACCTGGCTTCTATTGTTAAATCCAGACCCTGCCTCTCTGGAAGCTCATTGGTCACATCTAGGCCTTGCCCATCCTGACTCATCATTGGTCCAGGAAATCTATTGTTCTCATCTGAGACCAGCCCCCAGGTCTGCGCTGGGTATATCCCAACATGGTCTCAGACCGTGTGTTGTCTGCCATGATGCAAAATGGCAATCCACCCCTGAAACCCTCTGGGTTTTAGGCCACCATCCTTTCTTCATGGACCTCTGCACATCTGAACAGGTAGTATCACCCCATATCCCCTCCATTAGCTATCAATCACCTCTGCTTCCTTAGGTCTGTATTGTGTGTGTGAATGTTTAATTACTGTTTGTGCGCTTGAGAATATGTAGTAAAGAAATCCTTATTTTAGCCAACCAGGCTCTTTGTCTATTCCTGGGTTCTCGGAAATTCTAACTCTGGTATACACAAGTCTGATCCTATAGTTATGCCAACTGCATATTAATATCATAATTCCCCAATCTTTTATTAAATAATAGAGCAATTTGGCTAACAATTCAAATGTGGAACACCCTGCTAACCACAGTTAATTAGGATCTGTAGTATCAGGATCTGAAACCAGGGTTTTAACCTGATTTATTAACCACATTGAAGTTTAACTACAGTTTTTCATGATGTACGAGTGCAGACACCCCAGCTTGTTCCTTGCTTCAGCTTTACACACTTTCTGGGCTACAGAAACACCTGGACAGAGCAGCTTTAAATCAAAACCTCTCTTGCTTTTCATCACTTTTTCATGGATAATGGCAAAGTTTGCCAAGGCAAATGAGGATTTCAATGACTATCTGCAAGGTAGCCACAGTTAAAATAAAACATGGTTTCACATAACATCTGAACTAAATTCTGCTCATCTGTTTGAATGCAGCCAATTGTTAGAGCTTCTGATGTTGCTTACCACAGCAAGCTGTGTCCGTGAAGCTACCGTGTGAAAAACTGCAGGCATCATAAGAGATTCTTCGACTTTTAATTCCATCTCATTTTCTGCTGAAAATGTCGTTTTGGGGATAGCTGGAGGACGTTCACATAAGATCATTTCTTTGTTGAAGAGAAAAATTGGGTTTGTGTCCTGTATTAAAATAAAACCTATTATTTCCCGTTTCTTTCCAGACTCTTTCTGACAAGAATGAAAACAAAATTAATATTTACCGTTCCAGCGCTGTAACTACAAACTTTCCTGTCAGCTGCCATACACTCCCCTCCATTGACAACCAGCACCTGATGTTGAATAGCAATCTTGTACTTGGTTTGAATTGCTTGTTTAAGGTCGGCAACACTAAGATGATAAAAAGGTTGAGTTTCATCCACTGCTATTTTACAGAAGTTTTAAACCTCATTTATGTAAACACTAAACATCAGGTACCCAAACTTATCAGTGGCAGAAAGTGACTTCACCTTGTTTCTCCAATAGCACTGACATTCTATCCTTAGCCGTTTTAGTAGAAGCACAAGACAATTTCTTGGTCTTCTTTCCTTAAACAGCTAGCAGCAGAAGATGAAAAATCTCAAGCAAAGCTCTACAAATATTTACAGGATGTCATCTATATAAAGAGCAACAGAGAAGTGTACTTATCCCATAGTTTTTGATGCTCTTTTAGTACTACAAAAAAGTGGTAAAATTACATTTATAAGCACCTTCTGACAACAGTTTTGCTTTAAATTTCAATTCCAGACATCGAGTTGCATCCAGCAATCCATCATCTAAAGGCACTGATGACTCTGGACATTCAGTTTTTCCCCTCCTCCCCAGAAGCCATTTCAAACCCAATAAAAGTTGACCACTATCAAAAGGTAGTTATAGCTGTAGTCTCAGAGCTTTTATGCAGTGCTTGGGAAACATCCACAATTTATAAATTAACTTGGAGATAAAGGATAAGTCAGTCTTGATATTAACTTAGCAACAGACTTCACATAAAAATCAGATGAGAATATCTTACTTTTGTACTGCAAGTTCTGTATCAAACGTAAGGGTGGTTCCAGTGTTGACCAGAAATACATATAATTTCATGGTGACTTTTTTAGGCTCCTGAAGTTTATACCTTTGACTCTCTATTATTTAGGAACTGTAAAGAAAACAAAGCATTGGTTTCATGAACACGTCAAAAAAATCACTGTCAATTTAAAAGCACAACTTAAGGCACAAATCAGAATTTCTGTGTTAAAGACCAAGGAATCTAGATGCACAGTTATGCCCTAAACCCTGCAACAGTCACTGACCAAAGACATAGAGCAGTAATATGTGCACATGGAATGGTGTATGTGCCTTTACAAAGAGTGATGACCACATCCTGGATCTGTAAGGGATCAGAGATATTGGTGTGCTACTCCAAATCCAGCAACTGGCATGCAGTCAGAGGACTTATGAGGCCATTTAGCAGCCAGTTTTGCTAGCCTCTTCTAACCTCTAGAGTGTTGCATACAGAATCCATGTCTTCTAGTACTGTTTTTGTTAGCAGCCCATATTATAGAATTATCTCTCCTCCCTACCACCACAAACACAGCCAAAAACAACTACGAGGCTTCACTTCTGGTGTAGACTGAGCAGGAGTGACCTACATACAAGAACTATCACAGACCCATGCCTTTATGGAGATGTGGGTGGTTTACACAAGGTTCTATATGTGCTGACCCTGGGGGAAGAATACAGGTGGAATCTACTGACTTTACAAGCCTAGGTGTATGCATCTAAGACTCTACAGCCTCTTTCCATGCAGTCACAGGACTGGATTATTCCCTTAACACATCTATAGTCTTTTGGATGTGTCTGAGACATGTATAAATTATATCTTTATCCCCCCGTCTTCAGCTTTCTCTCCCCCTTACAGCCTCTACACAGGAAAACTATGGCCCACTTGTGGTGGCTGCCAGTCCAAGCTGCACAGCAGGGAACCCACAAGGACTTGCAGGGGGCATTTCATGTTCCCATTTATCCCCCTCCCAACACTATTTCCTCTTTCCTCCTCCTGGCAACCCCCATATTCTCACCTTTCCCCAATTCTTTTTCTTCTTCCCACCCACTCTTCTACCCTTTATCTGTCCATCGTCTTTGACTATCCTGGTATTTGTTTACTTCATTCATACCTCACCTTTCTCCACAATGAGAACTTAAAGCAGTTCACATCATTCTCCTCTCATCCATTTTATCAACATAATGTAACATTGAAACTTCCGGTTTATGGTGACACGCTGGTAGACGCACCTAGTCAGAAACTACACCTAGTCTGAAACTACAAAAAAGACGGAGCAAACAGCTGAGAAAGTAAAGGAAATAGATGCCAACTCTAGAAAAGTCAAGAAAAAGGTGCAAATGCTGGAAAGGAAGCAAGCCTCGGATGAATCTCAACTTTTACAACTGCAAATGGAGAAAGCTAACCTGGTCCTCCGGTTCCAAGCAAAAGACGAGAATCTAAAGCAACTTTTGAGCGATGCATTAGCTCCAGTTACAGACTTAAAAGCGGAATACCTTATAAGCGAAATGGATGTGGTCTATAGGGCCTATTCCGTCTACATTAAGAAAAATAATCTGCCTGGAGAGATAGTGGTTAGATTCTCGAAGAGACACATGAGGGATTCTATCCTGAAAGCAACCACAGCAGGGGTCATTTCGTAGAAAAAGAGCTAGGGGGACTCATTAGCATAACTCATTAGCATATGCCACACCCCCTGACATCAGGGGCCCGGCAGTGGACCTGCAAGGCCAGCGGGAGTGCGAGGAAGCCCCGTCAAGGCCCTCCCTGGCCCCAGGCAGGCATGGGTGGGGAGAGGCAGGGAGGAAGCAACTTACCCTCCCTCTTCTCCTGCCTCCTCCTGGCTGAATGAGGGCTGGAAGCGGGGCAGCCGGAAGCAGGGGGCGGGGCTTCGTCATGTGCCCCGCCCCCTGCACCTCACCAGGGGGAACTGCGTTCCCCCCCGAAATGAGCGTGAGTTCCTGAGACTGCAACTGGGAGAACCAGATGAGGACGCTAAAGAAGATGATGACAGCAAATCTAGCGGTGAACTGGACTCTGTGTCTTCCAGCGAGGATTCTGCTTCAGAAAAGGGGGCAGCTGCCCCTAAACAAGAATACCAATTGAGGATTAGAAAAGATAAAGCAAAGTGAAGGCTGAAGGACTCTGAATGGTGCCTTAAAATATTTGATATAAATGATGCTCTTGGGGTTGTCTTTAAACAGTTAAAAATGGTTAAAAAGATAAATAATTTAGCTTAATCGACTATGTTCAATGCATTGTAAGCATTGTAGACTAACACTTATATAAGCTGATGTAATGATCTCCTATTCTTGGGGTTTTAGTTATTAGTGGTTTTCTTTCCTGTCTCCTTAGATGTAGATGTTCCCTCCCTATTTTTTCGTTGTAGTTTGTAGTTTATAGAAAATGCAATAAAAATCCCCTCCGGGGGGCTTAAAAAAACCAAAACATAATGTAACATTACACAGAGTGCATGTAACTGATGCAAGATCACCCAGTGAGTTTTCACAGCACAGTGGGGATTCAAACTTGAAACTCTACCCACTACACCATGCTGCCTTTTGTCAGGTGGCTGCCGTTGAACAGTAGCAAGCAGTCAGGGCTGGGTAAGTCATGCAAGTTGCTTGGTGGTTGCTGCTGGGCCTGGCCCCAGTAATGTTCTCCCTCAAAGGCCAGAAAAGCCCTGGTAAAGCCCCTGACTCCTCTCTCCCCACCTCCTCCTGTGAGACCAAGGCTGGAAAGCTGGCTGGAAACAAGGCTGGAAAGTTGTGGTTGCCTACCAACGGCCTCTGAAACCATTAGTTTCTTAAAGCTACAGGCATTGCTTCTATTTTTTTAAACCAACAACCACAGATCATGTGTAGTTTTTAAGACTTCAGATTTTTCTGTAAGCCTGGGCTTTTCTCAGGACTGTCTTGTCTGTTCAAAGTTTCAAAAATCTATTACAATAAAACAAAGTAACAGAAAGCAGAAGCAGCAGTCAGCCATAAAAATGATTTCTAATTAAACAGCAATCAAATGCTACCAAAGACCTATTTAAAAAAATCAGTGCTGGATAATGGAAAACAAAGGTGATAAGAAGAAGAAGAAGAAGAAGAAGAAGAAGAAGAAGAAGAAGAAGAAGAAGAAGAAGAAGAAGAGGAGATTGGATTTATACCCCGCCCTTCACTACCCAAAGGTGTCTCAGAGCAGTTTACAAACTCCTTTCCCTTCCCCTCCCCACAACAGACACCCTGTGAGGTGGGTGGGGCTGAGAGAACTCTGACACAAACTGCCCTTTTTCAAGGACAGCTGTGTCAGAGCTTGTGACTGACCCAAGGTCACATCAGCAGGTGCGAGTGGAGGAGTGGGGAATCAAACCCGGTTCTCCCAGATTAGAGTCTGCACACTTAACCACTACACCAAACTGGCTTATTACAAACTCTGTATTACAAACTCTGGCTGCCAGTGCTGAGCTAATGATGTTCCTTGTGGCCACTCACCTTACCTCTGAAGATATGGTCAAGGAGAGCAGGGCTTCAATGGAAGATACCAGGGGTCATATGGGAACAGGTGGGGTTTGCCAGTTACATAGAAGCCTCTTGTGTATTATCCCATTTAATGAATGAAGCAAACAATACCCATCCTACTGTACCATATCTCTTTTTGAGTGGAAGGAGAAAGAACCAGGGAAAGGCTGGAAAAGGGCGGAAAGAGAAGCAGAAGGCTTCTCTGCCTCCTTCAGCCACACACCCCCACCCACCCTATCATAAATTTTCACAGTTCCACTCGTAACTTTCTGATTTAGTTTTACGTAAGTCTATCATCTTAGTACTGATTTATATTAGCTGCACATAACTAATGAACTGGTAAGAGGTGGCAGAATTTTTTCTTTTAGAATAAACTTATATATCAAAATTCAGATTTATGAATTACTGCAAATGTTATAACAAACCATATTTTTGAAAGATTCATAGTAAAATCATTTTAAATTGATTAAAATCAATGGCAGAAACCACAAACTTGGTACATATCATTTCAACCAATTTGCCTTCTTCTGCAGAGCAGATGCTAAGAGAAAATCAACAGTGCTTCTCAAAACAGAATTTCCCCCCCATAGGCCCACTGTGAGGTATTATATCATTCTTCCACTTATTTACTTTTATTTATTTATAATTTCTCTTTGTGAATTGCTCTGCCCCTGAATGCTCTGGGCTCTGAGCGATGAACAACAGTAATAATTTACATCAAGATAAAATACACCAAAATAAAACAGTTCAATAGTAGTCAATTTAAATAAAACCATTCACAATTGGTGTTTCTTAACTATGTCACCGCTCCCTGTGAACAATGGGACAGAACTGGGGAGGGAAGGAGGGGGTGGAGGGGAGAAGGAAAGGGTGTGCCAGCCAAGTTGGTATCCATCGCTGTTTTCAACCAGAGGCCTGGAACATCTCTGCCTTACAGGCCCTGCGGAACTGCATCAGGTCCCAGAGGGCACAGATGTAATTCAGCAGAGTTCCACCAGGCAGGGGCCAGGGCTGAAAAGACCCTGGCCCTGGTCGAGGACAGCAGGAGGTCTTTTGGAGCGGGGGACCATCAGTAGGTTGTTTTTGGCAGAGCATAATGCTCTTCGGGGGACATACTGGAGGAGACAGTACCAAAGGTACACAGGCCTCAGACAGCTCAAGACCTTAAACGTCAGTACCACCAACACCTTGAATCTGATCCGGTACTTCACTGGAAGCCAGTGCAGCTGGTGCAGCACAGATCGAATGTGTGCTGAATGTGGCATTTCTCTTAGGACTCGCACCACTGCATTCTGGATCAGTTGGCGTTTCTGGATCAGTCTCAAGGGAAGGCCAGCATAAAACGAGTTACAGTAATCCAATATGGAGGTGACTGTTGCATGGATTACTGTGGCCAAATCGGAGTGGGACAGGAAAGGGACCAGTTCCTGCACTGGGTGTAGATGAAATAACGCCAGCTTTGCAATATTTGTGATCTGGGCCTCCATAGACAAGGAGGTATCCTACTTCAAAAACTTAAGTGAGTGATTACTGGGGTTACACACGGCCCTGTTTGAATAGTCAGGAGACAGCTGTTTGTTTTAAATAAAAGGCATCAGACCATCAAGATTTAGAAAAAATTATGACAAATGCACAAAATAAGCTATTTTGAAGCATATGTGACAAGCCTTAACCTGAATCCTTACTTCCCTGAAGGGGGGAAAAGGGTACCTTCAGGTACTGCATGGAGGTACAAGGGTCTTTCCAAGCGGCTGGATTGCAAAACCTCTTCTTTTCCTCATTTGACTTTGGCAAGAGAATGAAATTTCTATTAAACACGAAGCATCAGAGACCTGTAAGCGGGAGAAAAACAATGAAGTTGTAATTACTTTTTCAATTAAGGGCTTGCCCAGCACAGAAGTTGTTTCTTGTTATCATGTTAAAGGAAAGTGTGTGCATGCGCACACGCACAAAGACAAGTTCTACAGTTACTCAAGTGTGCGAATCCTGTTGTCTTCCAGACTGCTATTTACAGAAGTAGGGATCACTCAGGGGAACAGAACAGTCCTTGTCAATATCACACTTGTCAGTATCAGCTTCTGCACTGGAAACTCAAAAACTTTATCTGAAGACAACCTCACCTCAAGGAACTATGTGCCAAGAACAAGGTCCACACACAAGGAGCAGGCAGTCAGGAAGCTGATAAAGCAGTGAAGCTTAACACCACGGAGACAAGGTCACACAGTGCTTAAAAGGTAAGGACAAGGACTTTTTTTGGCTGGAAACAAAATAAGCCAACAGAAATAATAGAGTAGACAAGTGAGGACTCACAAAAAACTTGCAGAGAGGGTACATTCCTTCCTGCTCTTTGCTTTCTTCCCTCTTCCTCCTTTTCTAACAATCTTCCCCTTCTTTCTCCTCCTTCCCCTACCTGTCAGCCTACCCCCATCTCTGTCAATCTACCCCCTTCTCTGTTAACCTACCCACCTATTGCCACCATTTCTCCCATTCCCCTTATCTGTCAATTTACTCCCATCTCTTTTGCCCTCCCCACGTTTTCTCCATCAGTCTACCCAACCCTTGCTGCTCTCCCTACCTACCCATCCACCCCAGTACTTCACTCACACCCACCTTTGCAGCAATCCCCACCTACCCCCCACCCTTGGCATTCAGTCACCCCCACTCTTGCTGCTATCACCATATACCACCACCCTTGGCACACTATGCCCCCACCTTTTGCATTCACTCACCCCACCTATGCTCTCTTCCCACCTCCCCCACCCCTTGGCATTCACTCACCCCTGCCATGGGTTTTTTTTAATTAAAAAAATCAGATTTTTCTGCACACCTGGGGAGCGCCCCAAGTGTACAGAAATATATGTTTAGCCTCCACATGGCCCCAATTGACAGATTTAGAGATCTGCAGATCATGGTCACAGATGGCTAATAGCATATAAATATGGCAAGACCTGAGTGAAAGACAAGGCAGATTACACTAACTGCAGATATGAGGTAGAAATAAGGGGGGGGGGGAGCTATGTTTTGTTTGTATAAGAGAAAGAAAAAGAAAACGACTTTTAAAAACATAGTCAAGGACCCACACACTTTCTGCCTTATCTATAACTCCATCAAGGCCAGCACTAGCAAAAATAAAGCCTTCAGCAACTCTTGGATGATTCAAGCAGAGACCTTTCCCAGGCTTGCTTTTTAACAAGAGATGTTGGAAACTGCACCAAAAAAAAATTAATGGAGGGCAGGTGTATCATTGGCTACCAGCCAGGATATCTACTGCCAAATACAGAAACAGCATACCTTTGAGACACAGTTCCTGACTAAACTAGCAACTATAATACTTGATCATTCCCAGCAAGTGAGATGTCACAGAATTATAATGCAATGGACTGAATACTATGTACTTTTTAAAAGTTTTATATACCAAAAGTACAGAAAGTACATACAAAAAGAAAATATAAAAGAAAGATTATTTATTTGTATGTTATAATTTAGGCAATCAAATGTCAGTTGTGGATGTTTTCATTTTGTCAAATAAAACATTTAATTCCTTAGTTATTTTCTTTATACTATGGGCTTCTTGTAATGAAGATATGTTAACTGGTACAAGAACTTTTGTGGGGTTTTATCCATCCAGTCTTGGTTCTGGGTATTAGCCTAGATTTCCAATCTTTGGCAAATGTTAATCTAACAGTGGTTATCAGATAAAGAGCACCATAAGATGTTTATAAAGCCTTCGATACACTTTCACATCAATTTTTATGGACAGTTATGGCTAAACATGGGATCAGTCAAACAATTATACAGGCAATACAATAGATATATAGAGGAGGTAGTTAGAATTAATGGGGAACATACTCCACAATTTTCAATTCAGAGAGGAGTAAGGCAAGGATGTCCACTTTCCCCATCCCTCTTTATTATGGCTATAGAACAACTGGCCCAACGTATTAGGAATTCTGGAAGAATAGAGGGCTGCCATTTAGGTAAGGAAGAAGTTAGATTAAACTTGTTTGCAGACGATATGATTATAGTTTTATCTAACCTGAAAGAAGGGATGAAAGAAATAAAAGTTATATTGGAAGATTTTGAACTAAACTCAGGATTAAAAATTAATATGACAAAATCAGAAATAATGTATATGAATGTTAAAATGGAGGAAAGGAGAGACATACATAAGTGGACAGGAATAGGCTTAGGCGTCAAGAAATTTAGGTATTTAGGAATAGATATAGTTAAAAATATTAACAAGATGGTAGAGAAGAATTATAATCGAGTATGGAATGTAATATTGAAAGAAATGAAGAGATGGGGAAGGAAGATGTTAACCATAACAGCCAAGATTAATACGGTGAAAATGTTTTGGGTTTCAAAACTCTTATATTTGTTTCAAACGATCCCTTTAGAGATTCATAAACAAAAAATTAACAGTTGGAATG